CTATCAGTTTCCCAGTTACACAGGGACGCGGGAAGTCAGTCAGAGTTGGGGGTGCGTGCAGCGTCTCGCAGCGGAGTAACGGAGCCTACACACGGCGGCGTGCGTTGCCGCTTCAACGCTTCTGCCCATTCACTTTGAATGGGGTGACGTCACGATTCGCCGAACTGCATTGTGGGAGCAAAGCGTAGCTTCTCTCGCGGTGCTCGCTGCAAAAGTAGAGCAATGTTCTACTTTTGCCGCCTCGACGGAGGCGTCAGCCAATCAAATCCTGCGTATGCAAATCTGACATTACAAGCGCTAGCCAATCAAACCGCGTGTATGTTGGGAGAGCCAGACCGCAGTTATTTCCCATGTCAAAAAATGGAGGAGAAAATGATCGTGGCGGTACTATATGACCAGTCCCTCTTTACATACAGGGATAAAAACCGGAGGAGCCAGGCATGGGGGGAGGTGGCAGAGACAGTGGGTGAAACTGGTAGGTTTTCGCCTGTTTGGGGAGTTTATATCCAGTGTACTTCGTTTGAATGGACAGCTAGCAAGCATAGACAGTATATTTAGCCAGCATGGATGTAGCATGAATGCTTTGCTTTGTATGTCCGGGGCGGGATTGGTTGTTGGTCGCGTTGTTCGTAAAAAATCCCCAAGCTTCAGACACGCCCACCGCCAAGCGGTAACGCACGCCGCCGTGTGTAGGGGCCGTAACTGTGGTGCGGAGGGGAGGGGCTGCGACTGGAGCCTCGCAGTTTTTCAGGTTGATATGTGAAGCTCATTAGCTAGCCAACATGTATTTAGCAAATGTTTAGCAAAATATTAGAAGTGAGGCTACTAGACTAACGTTAGGTCTACTGTAATAGCCTCACTTTTAATAGTTTGCAAAACATTAGCTAGCACTAGTGTTTTGCAGTTGCTAGCAGCTTATTGGGATTTTATGCTAGATAGACAGATATAATAAATTAAGCATTATTGTTAGTTAAGCATGTCAGCCTGCAGCCCCACTTCTTGTCTCTCTCTAACTCATTGCAGATGGCTGCACTAAAGAAAAGGGCACAGAGAGGAAACCAGTTGTAAGATGTTTAAAAGTTAATTAAACACAATATATGCTTAAATGAATTTCAAAGAAGTTGTGTTGAGTTGTGTTGGAGTATGTGTTATTCTACATTTTGACACCAAGATTTTCTGATTTTACTGCAAATGTATATCGGTTCCAAATATCGGTTATCGGTCTCCTTGATTACTAATAATCGGTATCGGTATCGGCCTCGAAAAAGCCATATCGGTCGATCCCTACTCCTCACCATGGTGGACAGGACAACCCGTTGGCCGAAGGCGGTTCCTCTCGTGTCAACGTCAGCCGCAGACATTGCCCGAGCTTTCATTGCGACGTGGGTGTGTCGTTTTGGCACCCCATCAGACATTTCCTCGGACAGAGGCTCACAGTTCACGTCCGAGCTCTGGAACGCCGTGGCGAGTGGTCTGGGGGTTAAGCTGCACAGGACTACCGCTTATCACCCTCAGGCTAACGGCCTCTGTGAGCGGTTCCATCGCTCCATGAAGGCGGCCCTCAAGGCCGGCCTTACGGACGGGAATTGGGTCGACAAGCTGCCCTGGGTGATGCTGGGCCTGAGGACTGCGCCTAAAGAAGACCTGCAGTGCTCTACGGCTGAGATGGTATACGGTCAGCCGCTGAGGGTTCCTGGGGATTTCCTCCCTAACGCATCGGCTCCCTGGTCGGCGTCGGCCCAGCGGGCTTTCCTGCAGGACGCCGCTGAGGCCTTTGCTCCGATCCCTACTACCCAGCACGGTACTCAGGTGTCCCGGGTTCCCGCAGAGCTCCGCTCGGCGGGGCACGTGTTCATCCGGCACGATGCGCACAGAGGCCCCCTGCAGCCCCCTTACGATGGGCCTTTCCGGGCCTTGGAGCACGGGGATAAGCACCTGGTGGTCGACCTGGGTGGCAAGGCCGAGCACGTCTCGGTGGACCGGGTGAAGGCTGCTCACCTGGACTTAGACCAGCCGGTGGTGCTGGCTCGACCTCCGCGACGGGGACGCCCCCCGGCTGTGACCCCTGTCACGGATTTAGGACCTGTTGTTCTGGTCCCTCCTCTTCCGGGGGCCGTGCAGGCGGATGACGCTTCTCCGGCTCCCGTGCTCAGGAGTCGTGGGGGTCGGCGCGTCGTTCCTCCCCGCCGCACAGACTTTCTTTACATGTGAATTCTGGGGGGGCTTGTGTGGTGCCACGTGATGGGACATAATTCACCTCTGGTTATTGTGTTGCAACACGGACCCGTTAGAGAGGGCACCGGAAGCTAGGTTCATTCATGCTAGCTTCACAACAAGATATAAGCTAATGTCTTAACCTGTCTGAATGTTCTTTGATAATAAAGTGTGGAGTTCCATACTGAACACGCCGCCTCCGACTCCCATTCATCGGCTCTACACTATGCAATATATTAGACGTTAAGTACTTTGTCAGACTTCATATTTATCTGTTGATACCCCCAACGTTTTTTTCTTATTCAAAAGAAGCTTAACTTAACTTAACTTAACTTACCTTAACTTAAAGTATTATTTAATGTTTAAATAAAGCCTTATTAGTTTGTTTGTTTTGCACATCCTCCTATTAATATCTTTGGACGTCCTGCACTAAACTGTTTTATTGTAGAGATCACTACAGTACAGTATCTTCTTGATATTTTCTATTCTATATTTCTATCATGCCTTCTACGTTCCCCCTAGTTTGTGTGTAGGCTACTTTAAATGTTTTCATCAAATAAAACGTATTCAACAACAAAATTCAATAACGTGCTTTAACCACTAGGCGGTGCGGGTTAAAAAAACAGTGGTCTAGTTAATAAAACATCATAATATGACTATTAACTTTGTTGTGAAATTAAAACAGAACGGTAAAGGAAAATACAGTTTCAGTCTCTCGATTTGAAGCTTATGCATTGTACCATGAACCTGCGTAGACCTGTAACAGTTAACAGCATGAGGAGTTGGAAAGGTAGTTCAGTAAATCAGTAATATCTTAAAAAAACTACAATTCCCTTTCTATCAGCTGTGCACCGTTAGGGTGTAAATACAGACTATCTACTAATTGGATCAAATATAAAAGTCAGCCGAATTAGTGTTGATACTGCAAGGAGACGTATTGTGTGAAAAGAAATGGAAGATGTTGTTTAATTGCTGATATATTTATGATTCACGTCACGTATTCAGTTTTGGCGGCATTTCTTCCAGTTTGTCAAAAGGTCTTCTAATCAGGGCTCTATAAATACATATCTACGGCAGATATGTAATATGTAATGCAGCCGAACCGTGTATTACAATGCCGTTATGTGATGACTTCCAAAGAGAAAAGCAAGAACACTCGGAATAAAGTATTATTTTATTTTTTTTAAATGTTTTCCGATTTCATATCGCATAAACTCCCAACATGCATTGAGGCTAAAACAATCGATGTTTTAGCAAACCTCTGAAAAAAGAAATGTGTCTCTCAGAATCAAAAGAGAAAAACCTATGGGAAAAACACAAAAGCATTGCACACAATTTAAACCAATAAATGTCATATAATTAACAAGGGTAAACTGATGTTTTTTAGTTGATGAGTACTGCAGATATCACTGTTAAATCATTTGATCATTGGTTTTATTATGAAAACGTCGAGACCGGAAATACTGTTTTCACCCCGTAACTTTACATGGAGGCTGCCGCTACCTCAAATCATCTTCATAATATCTATCAAACTATAGATCCTACATATCGACTGGACGTGGATTCTAAAAGTACAATATACACATCTCGCTAGAAATCTAATCAAAAAGCATTTTAATGGCCAAACTATCCTACAATTTAGGATTTTACAGAGAGGGTTATGTGTGAATAAACGACCCTCTGTAACGTTTGAAATCAACGGGAGCACTAGAGGTCGAAAACTTTAAAACGTAATTATAGGTCGTACTAAGTGCTTGAACAAACAACCTATTTTGTCGTAATAAGGGCTTGAACAATCGACCTATTTGGTCGTATAAGTTGGAGGACTTGTTGCTTCTGTATGAGAAGATATTAAAAAAAAAAGCTATTTGCAAACTCATATACCTTTGATTAGAAAACTTGATGGCTGTGGTTTTGACCTTTTCATGCATAAGTGTTGATTTTAATAACCCATGCTTTAATGATGTCTCAGTGTGGTGTGTGCAGAGTGTGTGTTCACAGCAGCCTCACACTCTGCATGAGACCTAGAAGAAAGGGACAATTGGTAGGGATGCTGTACAAAGAACCAGTGTGTGCAGTAGTTTAGAAATGCCACCTGTGTGTGCGTGCGTGTGTGTGTGTGTGTGCGTGCGTGCGTGCGTGCGTGCGTGCGTGCGTGCGTGCGTGCGTACATGAAGGCTTATACAGCAATTATGTGTGTGGGTGTTTGTTGATGTACAGTATGGGTAGCAAAATAAATGTGATATAGTGAAACAGACAGTGGGCTGATTGATCCTTCAAGCTGCTCACCGGCATCACGCTTGGCAGCAGATTTAACGTGGTGTCATTGAGCCAGACAGCCCTTTATTTAATCTGAATCCTGGCCATCATGTGTCCATAGAAAAGCAGAAGAAAGGTCCGACCCAACAAACACAAAAGAAGTCAAACCTTTGTCTTTTTCTCTGAGTTAGGAATATCCATAGCAACCAACACTTGCCGAGGCTCTCTTATATATCCCGATGATCATGGATTCAAAATATGAGCTGCCTGAGCAACAGTCTTTTAGTTTCAGAAAAAAACACAAAAATGGAAACAGATTAAGTGATTACAAATAACTTATTTGGGGATTGCATGTAGTATAGTGTGAGAAAGGAAGAGAGAAGATGAGAGACATAACTGGTACATTCTCTGTGTGTTGGAAAGAGGGATGGTTCAGGATTTTGTGTGAGAGACAGAGGGAGGGAGGGAGGGAGGGGACTCTGAGATGGCAGGAACCATGGTTAGTGGAGCCAGACTGAAGAGGAGAAGCTGAGGAGAAGCTGTGATACTGTGAAACAGCGCTGAGAGCAGGGGGATGCGCATCTGAAAGCCTTGAAGAAGAAAAAGAAGAAGAAATTATGCAAGTCAGTGCTTTCCTCGCAACAACATAGAACAAAACGAACCTTCACTCCATCAGAACATTTTTTAAGAGTTTGAAGCAAGCCCTGCTATTCTTTCAGGTTGTCTTTGGGGAATGCTGAAAAACTGCTGGAAACTTCTATCTGAGAGTCTGCCGCCGTCCCCTCCTCTAGTACAAGATGCCTGTGATGAAGGGCCTCCTTGCTCCACAAAACACCTTCTTGGAAACCATCGCAAACCACTTTGATGGCACTCGTAAGTATAATCTATAATTCTCTGCAATTGTCTTTAATTTAAAATATTCAAAGCTTGAAGTTAAAATGTCATTTGTGGGACAAACAAGACATTCCGTACATATGTTATTGTGTACATCTTAAGGCTAGTTGTGCTCGTTCTTTGTTTCAATTTATTTGTTACAATACTGCAGTCAATGTGTTTCAAACGTTTTGCCCCACACATCATTAAATCTGAATTATGACGTCTGAATATAGATCCCTCTCAGTTTTGAAGCTTCAACTGTACCAGTTGAGCTTTTAGGAGATGTGCCTTTGGCATTTCTGTAACCTACTTTAGGATTGTGACGGGCACCGAAAAACACTGCTGATGACAAATGTGTCCAACGGAAGTGAAGTCCAATGATTACACTGCGAGTTGTGACAGTAAACCATAAATACAAATTGAAACGAGCGGTGCCCGGCTATGATGATATATATCTGAACTGATGAGCCACTTGTTGAGCCACAGAGCTGCTCCTAAGAATGGCTCACTGTTGAGATTTGTGCTTTTCTCAGTCAAGGTCTTCCTTTAAACCAAAAAATATTACGGCTGTACACCTTATGTTTGCCATCTTTCCCACAAATAACCCACACACTTTCCTACACATTTCAGCTGATGTTCTTCTTCAACCCTTATTTTAAAAATATTTAAGACTCTTTTTAGGGGCATTTCCTTGATCTTTATATTTGCTTTGCACTCCCTCTTGGTGTTTTTGTACCCTGCGTAGTGGTGTGAGGTTAGCAGGAGAGGCTGTGTAAATGAAGCAACACTGAGGTTGATATTTGGTGAACATTTTATTTTTTTATTTGCTGAAAATATATTTCTCAAACAGTGCATTAATTATGTGATTGTGACAGCAAGCACATACCAAAATGGAAATGTGAAGCAAATATTAACTGAAGTAAATATTCTGCAACTACAAGAAATGGTAGACCTTCATAAGAAAAGCTTTACTTTCAAAATATTTCACATTTTTTCTGCTTTTCTCATTTTAATTCCTCCATTATTGCAAGGTTGAGCTTAAAAAATTGGACATGACGGGACTTTGAATATTTAATCAAATGTAAATTAAGCTTTTATCAAAACATATCTTTCTGTTCTGTTCTTGTCTTGCCACTCTGAACCCAGGCAGTAATATTGCTTATATTAAAGATTGGCTATTTGTTTTAAACAGTGTTTTACTCAACAAAGCCTTGTTGCTCATCAATATATATAAAATAGCAGATGCACGTCAATACAACCTTACAGACTTTATCAACTATACCGGACTGTGCTTTTGCATTATTAAAAAAGAAACTAACGATCAGACAGAGGGTGGTTATTTCCACACTTGGACAGTATTGATGTTCACCCATTGTTCATTATTTCTGACCCTGGTTATTTTATCTTTGTGAGTGTAAACCATGCCTCAGTTGAGTAGAAAGTCATAAGGAGGCACTCGTCAGCTCTTATAGAACACGATGAAAGGTGTGAGTGTGTAGGGGTCAGACAGTCTGTGTCCTTTACATATTCACAATTTCAGAAATTCAGTGCTAGGACACGATCTCTGTCAGTGTCACCCTATCACTCACTCACACACACACACACACACACACACACACACACACACACACACACACACACACACACACATACACACACACACACACACACACACACACACACACACACACACACACACACACACACACACACACTAATCCTCCATGCCTTCTTCATGTTGTCTCGCCCTTGCTTTCTGTATGACACATAAACATACACTTACACACACATACAGTATCAACACCGCAGACATTTTCTCAGTCTTTGCTGCCATAATACCTCTGTATCAGATGTGCATGTGGGGGCGGATTGACCAAGTATCTGAGTGGGAGGTGAAGGGGCCAACTGACAAGAGATTTCTTAAGAGCCGAGCACTTTTCAATCTGAAGACACGCATTGAACGTGTCTCGGTTTCAATTGAAAGCCTTTCTGCCTGAGGACGTATCCTTGAATACAAGGTGGAAACTTCAAATGATATCTCGATGAAGGAGAAGCACATTTCCACAGAGTGTGAATTGATGTTGGGCTCAGGGGAATGAAGGTGGTGATCACATGGCACGGGCACTACCAGGACATTAATTGAAATCAATTATGCAGAGGCAATTCAAATATCATGAAAGGTCTTGCTTGGTCATTCTCTTTGAGAGCAGAACAAAATACTTATATTATTCATTCCCTCTTCTGCTAATTGCCAGGTTAGGTATGAACATTTATTTCCTCCTCATAATTGCTGAAATGGATAATGAGCGATGGAAATGATTGGGTTTGAGTACCTGCAGTGGCGGTTCTAGAACATTTTACATGGGGTGGCAAAGGGGGGGCAAGAGGTCATGCCAAGGTGGCATGGGAGGGCGGACAGTACGTGGTATTTTATACTGTATATAACCTATTTATTGTTAATTCATGCCCTAACACAAGTGTTCTTAATGCACAAGAGAAACAAGGTGTTCAGACAAACAATCAGGTGCCCTTTGAGTCCCCCAACCTTACTTCAACAATTTTAAATGAAAGGAAACTACAAAATGTATTTTAAAGCAATGAATTAATGAAACAGGTTGTTTTGCATTACAATGTAAAACTAAATGTATATATATATTTTGTTTTTAAAAGATTGGTTGTCTTAGTAGTAGACAGACATATTTGCATGTCCTCACTAAGCATTATTACATATTAATTTAATATTAAACAAATCAAAATGGCCAATTATCCCAAAATGTTGCTGCTAATATAATCATATGATTGTCAACTTTAACTGATCAAAAAGAAATTCTGAAAAAATATTTGAATTATCTATGAAATTGCAATATTGACACACGTCCCTCAGTTTGTTTCAACCCCGTCAAGCCATACCATTTACCCTCCTATTAAGTTAAAATAATGGATCAGTCCATGTGTGATCTGCATTGAGGGAATTACATCACAAAAGTCTTCTGAAGAAAAGATGGCAAAGAATAATAATAGTAAATAATTGTTTATTACAAAATAAACAATAGTTTTGCAAAATATTACAATTTTGTAATGTCCTTGACTTCCATGTGGTGCCATATCTTAGCTAAACGAGGTCTCATGCCTACTTTTTGTCAAAAACTTCAACCCTGTTACATTTTTTCAAGGAAATTCCTAGTAATTATTTATATGTTGTGCCTGAGGTGGGAACATGTAAGTAGTCCACTACCAGATGTTATGACCAAACATTTTGGTTTCATTTTTCAAAGATATAAAGACCCAAAAGGCACCCGATTCAGAGAATACTCAGAATTCTGCATACTGTAAGTACTTAATTATAATTAAGTACACAAATGACATCACCCATCTCTCCAGAGAGCTACAGGTGACCTGTGCAGCAACACATTTCAATCAATATTTGTCAATACTAAGAGCTGCTAGATTGTGCTGCTGTAATGGAACATGTGAGGAGAATAAGAACATACCATGTGGTCCAGCTGGAGTTTCATCTGCCTCCTGATCCCTGCCTCTGGCCCTCTCTCTGACATTTCATCTTTATTCCTCACATATATTTCTTCTTCTTCATTAATGTCTTCATCTCTTCCTCTTCCTCCTGCTCTGACCCTCCTGGTCTCTTCATCTCCTCCTCTTCCTCCTGCTCTGACCCTCCTGGTCTCTTCATCTCTCTTTTCCTTTTCCTCTTTCTGTTCGTCCTGATCTCTTCTCAGATATGTATTTTTGTTGTTGTTGTTGTTGAATCACTCCTATACTCTGGCCTGCAAGAGTCTACTTGTGAAAAGCACTGGTACAAATGCTTGTATAACTGTACGCGTTAAGCGGGCCATGTAGCCTAGCTAATATGTAGCATATCATATAACATCAGAAAGTATTGATCAAGCGCATGTATCCTGGTTTCATTGATCTGGCCTCATGGCTGTGATGTGTAGTTTTCGTGGATTTAATAGTAGGCTACCGCGTAGTTTAGCAAAGTAATCGATCTCCCAGCTAACGCTGTCTGCGTAGTATTTTGTAACGTAACGCCCCAAACAGCGCCCGTCTGTTAAACGCTATCGATTCAAACTAAAGCGTTTTATTAATATTTAGTTTCAAGCTCTCGTCCTTAGTAAAAACTAAACTAGTGGAAAGGGAAATGCTCCAAGGGGAAGCTGATCCATAGGTGCTGGGACAGCTCGCTCCCTCTCTGCAGCGGTGTGAGCCGCGGGCTGTGTGAACGCCGCTCCGCAGTTTAATGCAGGGCCGGAGCTGCGTTTTTAACGGGCCTAAAATGATATTTTAAATGATTCACTTTTAACTAATGTAATGCTTGTTTTGTTGCTTGAGAAGCTTGTGGAAATAGTGTAGGTTTGTTTTAGTACAGTTTTAGGGAAACAAAAGTTAGGGGGGCAGCTGGGGGGGAAAGGCTCTACAGTGGGGGGGCAGCTGCCCCCCCTTGCCCCCCGTAGATCCGCCCCTGAGTACCTGCAATTAAAAAGAAAATAAGCAAAGGAATGATGTGAGTGCCAACTAGAACTGGATACGTAACAATGAATAAGAAATCCCAAAAATGTTTTGTTATATAATGATTTATAACATGCAACGATTCTCTATCAAAGCCATGAGTAGTTATTGACTAGAGATTACTGTGAGTAAGAATCACAGATCAACAATGGTTTGGCCAGTCAGTGTGAGCGATACTGTTGTAAGCTTGAAAAACGTGAAACCATAGAAACAGGCTGAAGGAAGACAGACAGAGGAAAGTGAAAGAGTTTGAGTTTAGTCATCTGGCGGTATAGGATCCAGCCAATATTTACCTTTGCTTTGGTTAAAATAACAGTAGATCCTTACTAATGTATGCTGCACACACCTTAGCAATTTGAGTTATGCAATTGTTAATTGTGATGCATGACAAACAGAACAACGCAGATATTGAATATCTTATATTGGCACAGTGTCCTAAAAACCCTAATACAAATTGCATCATTGGCATATGTTTTATTTTTTTCTCGTTACAAATCACTATGGCAACAGCATGGAAAAATCTTGGGAGTTTCACTGTATACTTATCAGGTAGAGAATATCCATCACTAATTACATGTCTCTCTCTCTGGAACAAACACTTGTTAACACCCCCCTGTTGCCAGCTCTGTTTGGAAAATTTGGAATAGTATGAAATGGATCAGGTGTTATCTACAGCTGCATGTGGTGTTACCAGCCTGTGTTTATTTAGCTTGCTTTAAGGGGGAAAAAAGCATCACTCTCATTAAAACAGGATGAAGTACAGTGTGGTCTTTGCAGCTGTATCGACATTATAGAGTTTTGCAGCAGTTGAACAAAGACGCCTTTTTTAAATGGAATCATCTTGTACTCAGAGTGGGAATGAACAAATGAATAATCAATCAATCAATCAATGTTTATTTATATAGCCCAATATCACAAATGTTACATTTGTCTCAGTGGTCTTCACAGTGTGTACAGAATATCAGTATGACAATACGACACCCTCTGTCGTTAGACCCTCACATCGTACAAGGAAAAACTTCCGGAGAAAACCCACAGTTTAAAGAGAAAAATGGGAGAAACCTCAGGGAGAGCAACAGAGGAGGGATCCCTCTCCCAGGACGGACAGACGTGCAATAGATGCCGTGTGTAAATTGAAAAGATAATACATTTGCAACATAGGTAATCCAAATATTTGGAAATGCATGTGTGTATAATAGGAAGATGAATCCACGAGGATATCCATCCAGGACCTATGATCCAGGACCACAGCCACGACTCAAGATCCAGGGCTCGCGATCCAGGACAAAGGACCGCAGGATCATCCATGTCTCCAGATCCCGGCGTATATAGACACCAAAAAGAAATACATTTGGGGAAGCTGGGTTAATCGGAACATGAGAGGACACAGGTATAGACAGAGAGAAGGAAGAAGTAAGATATCCCCCGACAAACTAAGCCTATATCAGCAAAACTAGGGGCTGAATCTAATCAGCCCTAACTATAAGCTTTATCAAAAAGGAAGGTCTTAAGCGCACTCTTAAAAACGGATAGGCTGTCTGCCGCCCGAACACAAACTGGAAGCTGATTCCACAAATGTGGAGCTTGATAAGAAAAGGCTCTGGCTCCCATTGTACTTTTAGAGACTCTAGGAACAACCAACAACCCTGCATTCTTGGAACGCAATGCCCTAATAGGACAGTAGGGTATAATGAGTTCTTTAAGGTAAGATGGCGCCTGCCCATTAAGGGCTTTGTAGGCGAGAAGAAGAATTTTAAATTCTATCCTGTGTTCTATAGGGAGCCAGTGTAAGGCAGCCAGAACAGGAGTAATGTGGTCCCTTTTCCTAACTCTGGTTAGTACACGAGCTGCAGCATTTTGAATCAGCTGAAGCGACTTGACTGACTTCTTGGTACACCCTGATAATAAGGAATTACAATAATCCAGCCTTGAAGTAACAAATGCATGGACTAGTTTCTCTGCATCGTTTTGAGGCAAGATATGCCTGATTTTTGCAATGTTACGTAGATGGAAGTAGGCGGTCCTTGAAATTGATTTTATGTGGGCGTTAAAGGATAAATCCTGATCAAATATAACACCAAGATTCCTTACAGTCTCACTGGAGGCCAAATTAATGCCATCCATAGTTAGTATACTATATCTTTAGATAATTTGTTTCGTAGATTCTTCGGGCCAAGTACAATAAATGTAAGGTCATCCTTACATTTGTTTTATTTTTATAAGATTTTTTCGCCAAAGCATCCAATCTACCTATATACTGTAAGCAAATATATACTTATTTACTTATATATTATTTGCTTCATCTGTATAAAATATGGCATTTAAAAACAAACAGACTGGTGTTTTAAAGAGACTGATGTGCCACACAGGACCAGTAACTTCCTGGAGTCTCTGCTGGTTGCCTGGCAACTGCAAGTTTAAAACGACTGCAGGCTGATACAACAAGGCTGCTTCAACATTACAGCCATTCTTGAGGATGTGCGGTTCGACTATTGCATTATGCAGAGGGTTATATCAGGGCCTAAATGGACTACAGTTTTGAAACGCCTTAGCATACCACAATAACTTGCACTAAAATGTGCAAACCCTCCAAAGTAATCATGAACTCTAAAACAATTTGGGAGTTAAATGCTTTATTTAATCTGGCTGGGAGGGTATCAGGATCTCCAAGGAAGAGATGGAAAAGGTTTAAGTCGTTTACAGTGTTTATCCTAATGCAATCACCACAGAGATATTTTTAAAGATACTGGGTTCTTGCGTGGGTGTATGTATATGTTTGTATAGGTAGTTGTTAAATACAAAAATGCATTGCATTGTAACATTTGTGATATTGGGCTATATAAATAAACATTGATTGATTGATTGATTGATTGCGCACCCGGTGGCCGGATGAAAACTCACCAGCCATGCTAATTAAGGGCAAGAAGCCCCACTAAGGCCCCTGTCCCCCATGGAGCCAGCTGGAGCCCTGCATATCCTCAGACTTCATGCACATCGCCGGCTTACTACAAAGCTCTCTCTGATGTACACTCGACTATTTTAGGGCTCAGAGCTGAAAGCAGACAGAATGACTCAGAGAAAAAGTATTTTTCTGTTGGTGCATCAACAAACTAATATAATCTGAATCAATGTCACAAGAGAGAGTGGAGAACAAAAAGAGAACCTTGTTGCTATGCTTCAATGTTACTGAAAAATATTATTCTTTCAGTGATGCAGCTATCTGACGTATTAAAAAAAAAATCATAAAATGTCACCTATTTTTCAATCAGTGTTTTCTCAGGGTCACTCAGTAGATTCACCTCTAACCTTTTGTTTCCATTGCAGACAGTAACTTTCTACTGGGGAATGCTCAGGGTCGCCATGGTCACCCCATCGTGTACTGCTCTGACGGGTTTTGTGAGCTGACCGGATTTGTTCGGACCGAGGTGATGCAGAAAACTTGCACCTGCCGCTTCCTCCATGGAGCAGAGACCAATGAGAGCGTGATCCAGCAGTTAGACAAAGCTCTGGAGGGCCAGCAGGAGTACCAGGGAGAGGTCTGCTTCTATAGGAAAAACGGTATGGATCACATTATCACCCAGGTGTTGAGTCGATCATGCACCCTGTAACACACATGTTTTAATATTGTATTTAAAACTCACCTCAAATGTTTGAAAATGTCAGAATAGGTACCAATGTCTTGAATTTTAACAATCTTCCCAACTACAGTTCTTCCTTTTAAAGAAAACACATAGAAGGGAGGGAGATGAGGCTAACAGTTGAGTAATATCTTGCATTTAAATAACTGTTTCGATGTGTTCCAGTCAGGATTTCGTCCAAAACACAGCACTGAGACTGCTCTTGTAAAGGTCTTCAATGACATCCACTTAAACACAGACAGTGGCAGAACTTCAGTGTTAGTATTATTAGATCTCAGTGCTGCGTTTGACACTGTTGACCACAACATATTAATAGACCGACTGGAAAACTGGGTGGGACTTTCGGCAACAGTTCTAAACTGGTTTGAATCCTAATTAAAATACAGAAAAAACATTGTTTCTATAGGTAAATACAAATCTGAGTTGACAAATATGACAGGGGTACCACAAAGCTCCATCTTGGGGCCCCTTCTCTTTAACATCTACATGCCACTGGCTCAGATAATGAAAAACTACAAAATAAGTTACCACAGCTATGCTGATGACACACATTTACATATCCATTTCACCAGGAGACTATGCTCCAATTCAAACACTGAGTAAGTGCATTGAACAAATCAATGACTGGATGTGTCAGAACTTTCTCCAATTAAACAAAGATAAAACTGAGGTAATGGTTTTTGGAGCCAAGGCAGAACGTATAAGTTAGCGCTGAGCTTCAGTCTGCAATGTTCAAAATAACAGATAAAGCCAGAAATCTAGGTGTAGTCATGGACTCTGACCTGAGTTTCAACAGTCACATTAAAACAGTTACTAAATCAGCCTACTATCACCTTAAGAATATATCGAGGATTAAAAGACTAATGTCACAGCAGGATTTGAAAAACTTGTCCCTGCTTTTATCTTCAGTAGACTCGACTACTGCAATGGTGTCTTTGCAGGTCTCACTAAAAAATCTATTAGAAAGCTGCAGCTGATTCAGAACGCCGCTGCTCGTGTCCTCACTGACACTAAGAAAGTGGATCACATCACTCCTGTTCTGAAGTCTTTACACTGGCTTCATGTGTGTCAAAGAATAGATTTCAAAATACTGCTGCTGGTTTATAAAGCACTGAATGGTTTAGGCCCAAAATACATTTATGACCTACTGCTAAATTATGAACCATCCAGATCTCTCAGGTCTTCAGGGACTGGTCAGCTTTCTGTCCCCAGAGTCAGAACTAAACATGGTAAAGCAGCATTCAGTTATTATGCTCCAAATATCTGGAACAAACTACCAGAAATCTGCAGGTCCGCTGCAACTCTTATTACTTTTAAATCCAAGCTGAAGACTTTTATTTTTGCCGCTGCTTTTAATTGAACTATTCATTTTCTTAATGTCTTTCATTATTGTGAAGCACTTTGAATTGCCTTGTGTTGAAAGGTGCTAAATAAACTTGCCTTGCCTTGCCTTGCCTAACTAGAGTTATTACAAGGCCTAGTTGAATACTAGATTCTGATTGGTCAATTTGGAAATTTCAGAGATTGTTAATTCTTGCTACTAGACCGTTGCTAAGGTGAACAGACCGTTGCTCAGGAGGATCAAGGGATCTGCAGTCATATCAATCCGCTGAAATAGTACGTTAAATGTAACATTGGCTGGACAACAAATATTAGTTTTTTCCATAAAAAAAACAAACATGGAATACTTTGTGAATGTTCCTTTTTATATTTGTGGAGAGAATAACACTTGATCGCTAAACTGTCCCCAGTAAAGAAAAGCAACAGAGGTTAAAAAAACCGAGCATTGGATGTGAGAAATCAACAGAAGACAGGAAGTGCTAACGTGCACACCATATGGGCTCTGGCATTGTTTAAAGACGGGTAAAAAAGAAGATGTGAACAGACTTTACAGTTACAGAAAAAACCTTGATCAGTGCTGCCGTCATTTTAAGTTAAATCGCTGTCGTCATGAATACAATTATTTTAAATCAATATTGTAAATCAAGTCTTTGGTTTATTCAGTAGGTGTGTGTTAACATAATCATTATCATTATGTTGGTGTTATATATTGTTATTCCAGCATTAATAGAAATCCATTTATCATTTTAGGGGGAAGAACTGTCAGGCAACACTGCTGGGTACCTCAGTTTAATACTCTGTTTGATATCCTCAGGAATTCCATTTTGGTGCCTCCTGGATATTGTGCCAATTAAAAATGAGAAAGGTGAGATGGTGCTGTTCCTCTTGTCCTTCAAAGATGTCAGTGAATCATACGGGAAGAGACATCACTACAACCAAGGAGATGGTGAGGCCTTGCTACAAGACATTTTAATTATATTTTCAAAATGTCCTTCTGTCACATATTGAATTTATGGGAGGCAGCACTTACAATAATCCACTGGTTTCTCCACAGGTATGTCAGAGGACGCTCAGCAGAGCAGGAAAAGCAATCGATCGCACTTTTCTCAAGCTCACGAGAGGGGGAGGAATATTCTGCAGCACCTTAGCAACCTGTTCTCTAAGAGGGGCCAGAGGAAGCTGACCAATGTGAGAAAAACACATTTATGATAAAATGGGATTAATGCATTACTTATAATGCATGAAATTAATAATTGTCATTTTCTTGTTTGTTAAATGTACTATTAGCTAAATGTTAATTACATTTGAATGTAATATTTATCAATGAAAGTTATTGTATCATATGAAAAATGTATGACATTAATAATTGTCATTTCATTGTTTGTTAAATGTACTAATAACTCAATGTTAATTGCATTTGAATGTAGGCCTACTATTTATCAATGAAAGTTATTGTAAAGTATAAAAACTTTACATTATTTGTCCTTTTTCATCTCTAAATCTGGTTGCATTTGTCCAAATAACTCACCATACATCTGGGTTTAAGGTGACCGTAAATATAATTCAAGCCCTTCAGATTTGTATTTTAAATAGGTTTCTGTCCAACTGTGTTGACTCAGCACCACAGCACCGGGTTGGAGTTCAATTTCTTTAAAAAGCTCCCAGGATTTTGTTTTTCGATGTATCTGTGTCCTCTTTTTCAGAGTGTATTTCAGAAACCGTCCCTGCCCGAGTACAAGGTGGCGGCTGTGAAAAAGTCCCGTTTGATCCTGCTGCACTACAGCGTGTCCAAGGCCTTGTGGGACTGGCTCATCCTGCTGGCCACCTTCTACGTGGCCGTGGCCGTGCCGTATGACATCTGCTTTGTTAGCCACGATGAGGGCAGCAGCTACCATTCCCTGGTCAGCCGTAGCACTATGGGCAGTGACATCGCAGTGGAGTTGCTCTTCATCCTTGGTATGTTCATTTTTCATTAAACAATTTCTGTTTGCTAGGCTTGCAGTCAACCGAGTCTTCCTCCACATAGTAGCCTTTTGTATTCTAACTTCTTTCTGTCACATTACATTGCATTTAGCTGACGCTTTTATCCAAAGCGACTTACAATAAGTACATTCGACCAGGAAGACACAACCTTGAAGAAAACAGAATCATATAAGTACATCAGGTTTCATAGAGCCAAACATTTCAAGTGCTACTCAACTGGCTTTAGATAAGCCAGTCCTTTATTAGTATAAAAGTGCTTCGTTAATAGTTCTATCGCTCGAAGTGGAGTCGAAAGAGATGAGTTTTCAGTTTGCGCCGGAAGATGTGCAAGCTATCTGCCGTCCTGATGTCAATGGGGAGCTCATTCCACCATCTTGGAGCCAGGACAGCAAACCCACGTGTTTTCGCCGATGGGAACTTGGGTCCCCCTCGCAGCGAGGGTGCAGCGAGTCGTTTGGCTGATGCAGAGCGTAGTGCACGCGCTGGGGTGTACGGTTTAACCATGTCCTGGATGTACGAAGGGCCAGATCCATTCGCAGCATGGTAAGCAAGTACCAGTGTCTTGAAGTGGATTCTAGCAGTTACCGGAAGCCAGTGAAGGGAGCGGAGGAGCGGAGTGGTGTGGGAAAATTTAGGAAGGTTGAAGACCAGACGAGCCGCTGCATTCTGGATGAGCTGCAGAGGTCGGATGGCACATGCAGGCAGACCAGCCAGGAGGGAGTTGCAGTAGTCTAGGCGTGAGATGACGAGAGCCTGGACCAGAACCTGAGTCGCTTTCTGTGTCAGCTGGGGACGTATCTTCCTGATGTTGTAAAGCGTGTATCTGCAGCAACGGGTTGTCACATACTTGGTAGTTTGATAAACTTAAAGTAACATCTTGGACACCGATTTCATGCTGCACACCAGCTGACCTAGTGTCGAAGCGTCTTGTGCAGAGTTATAAAGAGATGTGATATAACTATGTAACTATGTTCAGTATGAAGAACAGCTGTATTTCCCAGTCACACTGGTTTCCCTGGCGATAGTTGACACGGCTACACCTCCTACCTTTTCTCGCCCACTCAGGGTGTCTCTGTTGCCCCAGGTTATGAAATCATAATTAGATTTATCTCACTTCGTCCCACTTTTCCTCAAAACAAAGTGTTATAGCACATCTCTCTGAACAGGTGTTTCTGGGGACAAAATTAGCTTTCCTTTTTTGTGAAAGTAAATCTTTCTCACTTTAAGTTTCAGTATTAGGAGTGGAGTATAACTACAAAATCTTGTCCCTGAAAGAACTTAATTTAAACTCACATGCACTCTGTGTTCAGTCTAACTGCAATAAATAAAAGAAAAGCTGAAAAGTGAAATATAGTGCCAGGGATTTATAACAATAATAACAAGGTCATTAGTTTGCTAAAATTACCGGTTATTTCATGGGTTTTCTAATCATCAACATGGAGCTGAATCTTTTTAAATGAATAATTCCTTTTTTATCATTTCAATCGGCATAACTTTAAAATACTGAGAATATAACATAATAATAATAATAACATAATAATAATAATAATAATAATAATAATTCCTTACATTTATTATAGCGCTATAATAAATAACATGATCTTTCAGCTACTCTATTTTGGCCTCTAATGTCATATATTTCTGGCTACCTCCATAACATTACTGTAGCTATTATTTGATACTCACCTTACTTATCTTAGATGTATAAAAAGTTAAACACATATTTTACTTTTTCATCTTGCAAGCTTCAAAGGAATAACCAATTGTATAATTCGGAAGTATTATTATTGACCAATTGACTTACTAATTATTGTATGTACCTGAGATAAAGGCTAGTTTATTTATATAGCACATTTCAACACAAGACAATTAAAAGTGCTTTACAGAAAATATAAAATAAACGTTAAAAAAACTTAAATTAAATTGTAATATTTTTTATTACAAATGTGTACTTTATAAATTGTAATAACCTTTCATTTTAAATATTCTGTGCATGCCCTTTATCTAATAGTGCTTTATTTGTTGTCTCTATCTTTACTTTTGCTGTAACAATGTAATTTCCCCCCCTGTAGGACAAACAAAGGAATTCAGATTCTGATCAAATTACATTTAAATATGATTAGAGACACTCAAGACAAGACAAGTCTAAATAAAATAGCTTAAACAGCCAAGTAAACTCCCAAACTCTTAGACCTAAATGTATCGTCTGATCATGAAATACTTTTCTTTAAATGTGTGTTTTTTTATAGATTTCCTTTACTTCTCTTCTTTTCAGACATAATCCTAAATTTTCGGACGACCTATGTGAGTCAGTCCGGTCAGGTAGTGTACGACGCCCGCTCCATCTTCCTCCATTACTGCACCACTTGGTTCTTTGTGGATCTGATCGCGGCATTACCCTTCGACCTTCTCTATGCTTTCAACATCACAGTGGTAAGATTGTTACATATCTCTGAGTACACTGTGCCCCCAGGTTTTAGACTTTTCTGTCTCTTTAAGTGCACCAACTTTGAGACAGCCACTAATGTTTTAGTTGTGTTGTTCCCCCAGAGCACTAGACTGGACATGATTATCCTCTTCATTCAAACACTTCACTGAGCATCGTCGTTTGTTCGCTCGCTTCAGTTTTATCCTCCAGTTAAACACTAGTACTTCTCATGGATTAGTTTTACTTTGCCTCAGGCCTCAGATGACTTAAAAAAAACATCTCTCTATCAGGGTTTAAAACTTTATTTTGTTTGCCACTGCATTTCAACTTTTATTTGCTTTGTCTTTATCCGATTGTATTTATTCGTAAGTGACACTGCATTGTTGCTGCACTGTAATTGTATTCTACTATTTGATTGGCCTTGATTGTACATTAGCACATTTTGATGTTTTATTTATTCTTGTTAGAATCTTTTTTTAAATACTCTTTATATATTTACTATGCATTTGTGTTACTTTTCAAAACAACCTACTTAGCCTTCAACCACATCCTAGGTTGTGTTGTTGTGTTGTGTAGTTAAAAACATTTATGCTAATAGTCACATTCAATTCAGAGCAAATGCTTTAGAAAAAAAAGACATTAACTCAAGATTAGAAGAGAAAAGATAATGGCTTACTAGCAGAGCTGCAACTAACGACTAGTAAATAGTGAAGAGTTTCTAAAAGTCTCAGGCAATGTCTAAAAATGTCTTGTTTTGTCCATTCAGAACCCAAAAAATATAATTTAAATACATAAATGTAATATGTAACACAGAGGATGGTGGGAAATCCTCGCATTTGAAAGCTGAAAACAGCCTTTTCTGCCATTTTTGCTCGAAAGAAAAAAAATCAATCATTAACAGTTTACCAAAAAAGTTCCCAATAAATGACTAAATTGACTAGGCCAAATTATTGCAGCTCTAAAATAGGTTTTTAAATTGCTACAATTGGTTCAAGTTTGTATGTTCTTCCTTCCCATCTGTTCTCCCAGACCTCGCTGGTGCACTTGTTGAAGACAGTTCGTCTTCTGCGCCTGCTGCGCCTTCTTCAGAAGCTGGACCGATACTCCCAGTACAGCGCGGTGGTCCTGACCCTGCTCATGTCTGTGTTTGCTCTGCTGGCTCACTGGATGGCTTGTGTCTGGTACATCATCGGACGAAAAGAGATAGAAAGCAGTAACCCCGTAACCTGGGAAATAGGTGAGCACATTGCGTGTGTGTGGTCATGTGTTTGAACACTTCGACACCCCTGACAAAGAAATGTCTCTGTTAAGCTTAATGAGCAAGGGAGACATTGTACTTTTAGTACAATGTCTCCCTTGCTCATTAAGCTATACAATGTCTCCCTTGCTCATTAAGCTTAACAGAGACATTTCTTTGTCTCTCGTGGCAACCCTAAAGGGCCGGAACTGCACGTCATCCTTGTCATGCTTGAATGCCTGAATGCCTCAGCATCATTTCCTCTAGGCACGGAGGAAGTTTAGGTCACAGGATAATGCCATTATATCACCAGTGATGTATTTTATCATTCTACATTATATCACCCATCAAAGAAGAAAGGGTCATCCATTGAAGAAGACTCGTTTGATTAGTCATCTAAAATGAATCTTATACAACCATCTTCTGGCCATATTTTCAAGGCTGGCTTCAGGAGTTGGGAAAGCGTTTGGAGACACCATACTTCAACCGCACCTTGGGGGGTCCCTCCATTCCTAGCGCCTACATCGCCTCTCTCTACTTCACCCTCAGTAGCCTCACCAGTGTCGGATTTGGCAACGTGTGTGCCAATACGGACGCTGAGAAGATCTTCTCCATCTGCATAATGCTCATGGGTGGTGAGTTTAACTAGTGATCACTACGAAATTCCAAGAGTTATTACACATATGTGAGACTATCTTAATGTTACTCCCCTCTCCCACCCCCAGCCTTGATGCATGCAGTGGTCTTCGGCAATGTGACAGCCATCATCCAGCGCATGTACTCACGGCGCTCTCTCTACCACACCCGGATGAAAGATCTGAAGGACTTCAACCGTGTGCATCGGCTGCCTCAGCTGCTGAAGCAGAGGATGCTGGAGTACTTTCAGGCAACCTGGTCCGTCAACAATGGCATCAACGCCAATGAGGTGGGTGTAGAATCTGAAATGTGCCAATTTAATATTAATTGAATTATTAAGTGAGAAGTTTTCCTATCAAAGTGAGTTTCTTTCAGTGTTTAATATGTAAATTGTGGACTGTGTGGGCTGTAAAAATGTCGTCTTCATGCAGAAAAATACATTTTGTGGTTGCGCTAGATTTGAGATTCAGAATTTTAAAATGGGTCCCTAAGTAGATGGCACACATTTAGAACTGCAGTACCAATAACAGAACTGATCAAGAGCAACATTCCTTTAATGATAGGAGTTGGAGTTGAAATATAGTGAGTATACTCATTAACACCCTCGCCGCCACCATCTGTAGTTGATGTATTCACTGTCGAAGGTAACAGACACAGCCACCGATTTCTGAGAACTTGTTGGCGTTAACACCTCATGTCTGTTTTTACTGAGCAGCTTGGCACATCATGTGAGTGCATCAACCTTCAATACCACAATCTGTGCCCCTTTGAAAGGAGTATTTAAATCCTTGCTTAAAGTAGCAGCAGATGAAAATCTCCAATTCCAATAGAAATCTTATCTCTGGGTATTTCAAAGTTTCAGCTTCCCTACCCAGCTGCTGCTGCAGTCGTGCTGCTTTCGCTATGCGGCCACTGTAGACAAGAAGTTAGTGTTTGAATCAACTAGTGACACTTTCTCATTTCATGGAAGCATTTGATTCAGTGTTAAAATTAAGCTTCTTCCCAATAGAGCTTAGAAACGGATACAGAGCCTAACAGTGTACAAAACATGACCAAATCAAATTTCTTAAAATAGACGGCATGCATTCTGTTGCCCTTTAATGTTTTGTAATGCTGCATTTTGTCTTTTTCATGGACATTTGTGTGCAATAGCTACATAAAGGCATTCCGTCAGTGGGACAGTGTAAGGAAGCACACCATTGAAAATAGATAGTGAGGTGGCGGTATGTCCTGAAGCACTGTAGTACTGTAGCTTCAAAAGCATTATTTTGCAGTGGTTATTGAAGACTATTTTTTTTACTGACCTTTTTCTTAGCTGCTGCATGACTTCCCAGATGAACTGCGAGCTGACATCGCCATGCATCTGAACAAGGACATCCTGCAGCTGCCTGTGTTTGAGCGCGCCAGCAGAGGGTGCCTGCGCTCCCTGTCCCTGCATGTCAAGACTTCTTTCTGTGCACCTGGGGAATACCTCATACGCCACGGAGATGCCCTGCAGGCCAATTATTTTGTCTGCTCTGGCTCCCTGGAGGTTCTAAAAGATGGCATGGTTCTGGCCATCCTGGGTTAGTGTGCAACAAGTATAAAACATTTCCAGAGGTGGGAAGTAGTGGAGTACAAATACTTCCTTACTGTACTTAAAGGTCACCTATTGTGCAATATCCACTTTTTTTACGTCTTTTATACATCAACATGTGTCCCCTCTGTGTAAAGAGATTCGGAAAATTTCAGGAAAAAATATTTGCTCACTTTTTGTCCTGATCCATTTATATAAAAACCTGTCTGGAAATGAGCTGATCAGATTTTGGCCACTTGTTATGTTATAACGGCTTGTATAAACATTAGCCAATCACCAACCGAGGTAACCCCCCCCCCCCCCACCTTATCACCTGAATCTCCTCCTAGAGCACCATTGTGGTTCTTTTTTATCTGAAGTAACAGACAGAGAATCAGCACTTTGAAACAGGGCTGAAACAGAGGGGATTATGGGATGCTAAAATGCGTGATCTTTTTGGTGTTTCGAACCAAACACTTCAGAGACATGTTTTGTATATATCTGAGACCTATTAAATATTGATGAAAAGCAGTATAATAGGGGACCTTTAAGTACATCTTTCTGGTATCAGTACTTTAATCCACTACTTATTTTTCTGATGACTTTTTACTTTTACTTCTTACATTTTTAGCACAAATACCTGTACTTTCTACTTCTTACATTTTCAAAACAGGTTTATTACTTTAGTTTTAATCTACGTTTGGTGGCGTGATCATTATTATTTAGAGTCATTGCATCCCAAATGATTTTTAACACGATCTGTGTATCCATCATTTCCTGGTCTTCTCTAAAGAAGAGGGACCAATGCAAACTTTGTAATTAGCCGTTGTTCAGCATCATAAACATTCATTAGCTAACAATGACATTATGGTTCTATTAATCTAAAGAGAGGTCAGTTACTCTATAAAACAGTTGGTAGTTATGGGTACTTTTTACTTTTTACTCATAGCCCATACTTCTTTACTTTTATTTGAGTAAAGAAGTTTAGTCAGTACTTTTACCAGAGTATTTTTTAACACGAGTATCTGTACTTCTACTTGAGTAAAGGATGTGTGTACTTTTGCCATCTCTGAACATTTCCTCTTTTACTCATTTTGTAACTTTCAGATGTGTTGCACCACAAGTAGTTACATCTCTGTTTTAATCCCTACAGGAAAAGGTGATCTCATTGGCTCTGACCTCCCAGATCGTGACCAGGTGATCAAGACCAATGCAGACGTGAAGGCGCTGACCTACTGTGACCTGCAGTACATCAGTGTTAAGGCTCTAAGGGAGGTCCTCTTGCTCTATCCAGAGTACGGCAGCCGGTTCAGCTCTGACATCAACAACAACCTCACCTACAACCTGAGAGAGGGCAGTGAAGCTGACGTAAGAAGACATTTGCTAACACAACACTGCAGAGACAGATATTTCATTGTACCAGTGTTTCATTTCTTTGCTACTGCTCATTAACAACAAGATACCTAGGCTACCACCAAATAAAGAATGTGAGTGTAATACCTTGCTAATTGTGGCTTTCAAATCTCTAGGGAGTAACAAAGCTTAGGTCTTCAAGGCTTTCTCTGGTATGTGTGCATCACTAAAGTAATGAAATCAGCCTTCATCTGCCAGATACATCTGACAGTCAGTTACAGCACAATTATAAGTCCATAGTGTGCTATCCTGAAAACTTGTAATGGTTAAAGTTGAGGATTGAACATTAACAGCCTGAACTCAAACACAAAGCTGAGATAAAGATGGATATTATGCTGCTAAAAACAGTGATGAAAACCACTTCCTAATGATCGAAACCGATTAGATCATTTACATGTTGAAGAGATTCATCTTAAGATAAATTAAGTGTTAAGTTAACTCAAGGATTCTGAAAGAAGAGGAGCCAAAAATAAGCCCATAAAGCAATATAGAAATCAATCAGAGACATAGAAGGCTTTGCTACATTTGTTCATTCATGTTTGTGTGCAGATAATGTGTCTTTTCCCCTAGAGACAGTTTTCCTAGACCTGCTCTCCAGCTTGCATGCTGACACACCGTATACATTAAAATGATATCTTAATTCCATTTACAAATGTAACAAGACTGTACCTGTTTCTATTTTAGTTTTCTGGTCTGTTACAGAGGAGAAAGCGTTGCTTTGAATGTAGATTTACCATTTTCTATACATGCAAATATGTGTTTCTATATTTTTCACAATTTTTATTTTTTATTTATTTGTTTATACTAATTTTCAGGAGACAGGAACAATATAATTTAGTATTAGCAAGCAGGGAAAACGAATTCCCACAATCTCATGATCAACCCTTTTCTTTTACAGTATGTTTAAGGTTTTAGTGTTCATTTGAAATGATGGGTCTAGAAAAGTGAAGTGTTAAGAGTCACTCAGCCTTAAATTGTTTTCCACAAATCAAAGACACATCGAATTTTCAATCTATTGTCTCCTCAGGGTCATGCTATGGACCATAAACTGCCCTATATTGTTGAGGCAGATGATGGTGACCGTGGAGAAGACGTGAGGCACTATCAGCAGAGGAAAGTGCCCTTGTTATATGGAGCAGGCAGCCCTGTGCGTCAGCCCTGCCTCAGCACCATGTTAGGGGATGAGCTCCGCCACATCAGTGCACTCCGCAACTGTGGCTCCCCTCTTCAGGGCGGTAGAAGCCACAGCCCCTTTCATCAGTCATTCACCAATCAGGAGCTCTCTCCTTCTCCTGTGCCCAGTATTGGCAGCGACCAGTCTTTGAACCAGCGGCCTGCCAATCTACTAATGCCATCCTTGAGCTGTGTTAGCCCACCTAGCCTTAGCCCCAGGTAACCTGTTAATAACCCAAATATAAATCAGCAATCACTCTTGCACCTTTTTCATGATTATGTAGTAACACTGATTTGTGTCTCTGCCAGGGTCGTGGATGGAATTGAGGACAATGGTCACACATTTCAATTTAATGTAGAACAGAGGGAGACAAAGACTAATATAACAGGTAAGGTGAAACGAATTGGAAAAAATGAAATAGCAGACAATTTGATAAAAATAACTTTCCAGGAACCTACATGTATGATTAACTAATCATCATCAGATATCTATACTGTACATAATTGCTCTACATTTAAGCAGTACTTATAACCGTACTCATTTGAGGCTAGATGTCATGATATATTATGGGTTATTTCAGTTCAGCTGTACTGCTTTGTTTTCATTCTTTTGTAGACCAGTTCCAAGTGAGTGCTCACCTGCTTCTGGAGACAGAGGAAGTGAGACAGAACATCAGCAAACTGAACAAAGAGGTACAGTTTTCAAATAAATGTGGGGTAAAAAGTACACTATTTGCCTCATAGATGTAGTGAAGTGTATAAGTATAAAGTATCAAAATACTCAAGGAAAAAACAAGTACCTTAACATTGCTCTTGAAAAAGTCAAAATATATAAATGATCTGGCTATACAGAATTATCAGTACATTCTTTTGCCAAATGTGTTACAGTGTTATGGGGTAGTAAACATACTGCAATTTTTACTGCAATTCTCCAGGTGTATCACATATGTTTGTCATTTATTAGTTATTTCAAATAATTTAAAAAAATAGATATGCCCCACAGCAAACTCTTTTTTCTTTTCTTCTCAGGTGAGCAACCTGAACCATGAAGTGTCCAACCTGGCCAAGGAGCTCCATGACATAATGCATTTCCTACAGTCTCATATGTCCATGCACCATGCACCTCATGCCGTCTTATGGCATACAAATGGTTCCCAGTCCTAGTGTGAGTGCTTCCAGCAACTGGCAGCCCCACGTCCCTTTAAATATTGCCACCAGTCTGCATCTCCATCATGAAGCAATTAGTCACCCTGCCAGAAATGTGTTGGGCTGCAGTGGTATCCCCTCTCTGGATAGAAGTCCAACTTTGCAGTCTTCCAACCCTGTGTCCTCCTGTGTACACCTGTGCTGCTCTGACAGGGAAGGGGCCACAGCCCATATGTTACAGAGCCAGTGTGGCCCCTTTCAAACTTCAAGAATAACTCCAAACTCTCCCTACACGACCCACCCACATCCATCCCTCCTAGGCCACAGCCCTTCCTTCAGTAGCTTCCCCGTGGTTTGTCAGGCTCCACAGGTCCAATACAATGCCTCTATTACAACAATGAGCAACACACACCCTCTGTGTTCCTCTGTGAATTCTGGCTTCTCCCATCCATCTCTGGATGTTCAAACCAACTCTGGTCCCACACAAAATCAGACACCCATCCATTCCTCCATGTATAACACTGGCCGGCTGCAGTATCACCCTACCTTCAGCACTCTCACTCCGTCAGTCCACACTTCAACATGCACAGGGCACAGCCAGTGCCACCAGAGCTCTGTCAATGGCCCAAGGCAAAATGACCTAGTTGGATCCAGCCCTACCCACCTCCCACAGGACCCTCCTTGTTCTCTGACGGGGCCGGAAACAGACAGAGACTGCAGAGCTTCACTGTACCAAGAGAGGACGAACAGTATTGAATCTCAGGATATGAGTTGCAGTTCTCCAACTGTAGAAGTTCAATCACCTCTCTTGGATGTAGAGGACATATAAAGCCCATACTGGTGACCTCACCTCTTCTGTTAATCTGTTATAATGATGACTTAATTTTTCCTTCAGATACCATCAAATAAAATGTTCCCTGCTGCTCCCTCCACCAAGACATGCACCGCACACTTTCTCTTTAGGGTTCAATGGTATTTGGATATATGTTAGCAGGTTCACTAGTAAAGCATTAGCAAGAGATACAATTATTGTACATATTTCATAAAATAATTCAAGGTTACTCAGGCTCAAGTTATGATATACAGGTATGAGGCGCCACACAGTGGAGACAGTGTGTTACAAAAGGCTGATCTCTTATCACACAGCACAGAGGAAAAAACAAACTCGTTCTGAAACGGATAAATGGAAGAAAGGAGCACAACTGTACATTTAATGAGGATTATCACAATATTTTGCTCTGTACACTTTCAGAAGTGTGTTATTTTGATAATATTTTTTTGTACAGGTTTCTTTGCCTTTATAGGAACACATGTACTTATCAGACCAGAGCTCGACTATGCTGTATGGGCTTTAAAATAATTTCAATGTTAAAGGGATATTTATTTATCTTATTTTAATTCATTTTTGGAAAAACTATAATGTAGTAATGTATTGTTTTAAACAATACCAGTGTTTTTTCACAGCACTCCTTCAAAAATTAAAACATACTCCAGCAAGACTTTATAGTAGCCTATATCGAGGAGGGGGCTATGTATACAAATGTATACAGTATTTGATTTAGGTGCTCCAGTATTCAAGCAAGATAAGGTTATCAGGTCAAGAGAGTTGCAACTTTTTATTGCCAATTTATGTCTAAAGCCTTGACGTCATCATTCCTGGGGGTGTGACATTTTTTATCCTGATCAACAATTTAGGCAACTGCAACTTTTGGTAATAATAAGACAATTAAACACACTGTAATCCCTCCCTAAGTGTCCTTTGTTAACCTCACTAGAAGTCCTAAACAACAAGAGCATGTGTTCTTAATAGGGTAAAGCACTGCATCCAAGCCCTTATGTAACCCTGTAGCATTTTTACATGAAATCCTGACCTCATTAGTGTATAACGGGAATGTTAGCTGTAGTTCTAATGAGCATTAGTGTTAGGTAAAAAAACAAAAAGGCCAATGTTGAAGAAAGCATCCTTTTGTACAAAAGACAAATTACAGCTCATAAGATCCAACCTTCGACAACATCTGACTAGCTCATCAGACGAGATCATCCCTGGATCATAATGTTCAACAAAAAAATACGGATAAACACAGTGTCTGATTATTTACATTATCACTCTAATAATCTACATAATTTAAGGCTGCATGCATCATTGTGTCAACTTGCCATTGTAAATGTTTATCAGATTACATGATTGGAGTTGACACTCTTTTGAAATGTTTGTTTTTTTCTGAAATAGATTCATTAAAGGGAGTCCTAGATTCCACCTTCAGACTCATCTTTTTTCTTTGTTTGTGCATGTTCATCAGGTCTGTAATTCATCCACAGAACAATAAAGGAAAATTAACACAAGGTGAGTACATTCACCCACAAGTGACGAATAGTAGGCTACTTAACTAATGAAAATGATAGATGAATGAAAAAGTAATAGTAAAGACTTTTGAAAGAGAAAAAAGGGCCAACCCCTTTAGTGTATGGATGAAGTACGCAGATATTTTATCTAAATACTATTAGATAATACTCTGCTACAACTTGTAAATGTATGCCCCCGAACCCCCCTAGCATGTTTGGACCTCAATATTTAGGAAATCCTGGGTACGGGCCTTGTTACAAGTAAGGCCCTTTACTAAAAATGTATCATCTATTAATATCCCCTATCAGTATATGTTTTGTTCATTTTGTAAATATGTATTTAAATGTGATGTTTATATATCTATATAGCTATCAATTATCACATTCATTCATTCCTTTTACCTGAGTGGAGTTCCCTGTTTAATGGGGGAAAAACATACATAGAACGTTTTAATTTGCATTATCCAGATACACAATTAACAATCCAACAAATAAATAAATGTCCAATAACATAAAAACGATATGTTACTGTAAATACACATACTCTAATTGTGTACTTAAGTACAGTTCTTGAGTAAATGTACTTAATTATATTATCTCTGTATTCAAGTCACATAGAAAGGTGCAGTTATCTTAAATATAAACCGGATTATGATCATGTACACTACAGCATATTGATGATTTGGTGCATTATATATTTCTAAATCTCTAAATCAAGATCTCAATCGAAAGATTCTCAATCGCGAGTACACATGCTGCAGAGCAAAACATCTGTGATAGTGAGCACTTCTCCTTTGCCGAGATAATCCATCCCACCTCACAGGTGTGGCATATCAAGATGCTGATTAGACAGCATGATTATTGCACAGGTGTGCCTTAGGCTGGCCACAATAAAAGGCCACTCTGAAACGTGCATTTTTGCTTTATTGGGGGGGTCCGAAAACCAGTCAGTATCTGGTGTGAGGGTTAGGGTAATGTTGTGAATCGAGTGGCCTGTGTTCGTCGTCCATAACATACGCCTGCCCATACCATAACCCCACCACCACCATGGGCCACTCGATTCACAACATTACCCTAACCCTAACCCTCACACCAGGTACTGACTGGTTTTCGGACCCCCCCCAGACCCCCCCCAATAAAGCAAAAATGCACGTTTCAGAGTGGCCTTTTATTGTGGCCAGTTTAAGGCACACCTGTGCAATAATCATGCTGTCTAATCAGCATATTGATATGCCACACCTGTGAGGTGGGATGGATTATCTCGGCAAAGGAGAAGTGCTCACTATCACAGATTTTTTCAGATTTGTGAACAATATTTGAGAGAAATGGTTATTTTGTGTATATAGAAAATGTTTTAGATCTTTGAGTTCACCTCATGAAAAATGGGAGCAAAAACAAAAGTGTTGCGTTTATATTTTTGTTCAGTGTAAAATAGTTGCTCTGCAGCAGTTTTACTCGCGATTGAGAAACGGCCTGTGTCCGGAGGGACCCTGAACGCCTCTCGGTGCGGCAGACAGTGGTGTCTCGTGCTGCTGCTGCTCTCATTGGTCAAACTGCCGCTGACAAAAAGTGGGACGTTCCCGGAAAAATCGCTAACCGGAAAGGAAGGCCAGAGCCTCAGAAGAAGAAGACAGCCGTCTCCGATGAGACCAACGAAAGAAGAAAAAGTACTGTAAGTCAAACAACTTAAACATATATAATATGTCTGTGAATAGGGACATTGACCGCATGTTGGACTTTCTTTTCGAAGAGCTGTTAACCGTATTTGGACACGCTTTGTCTCATTTTGGTCAACTGATCAGCCAAGTCCGGGTTCAGCCGAAATGTCCATCAGACAGGATCCACAGAGGCAGAGTGCCTATCCCTGTGAGACCACATCATATGTCAAATGAGCATTGACACACAAAGTACTTAGAGGCACAAGACCTATGTATCTGCCAGAAGCAGACACAATTACAAGTCTGAGTCCTCCAGTTTGTCCAATGTCAAAAAGCAGACGACGTGGGGCCGAGAAAAAGGAAAGTTGTCTAATGACGTTTGCGCTGCTAACCTAGCTAACACCATCAGTAGCCAGTATTCGTTTCCCAGAGTTAAGCATTATTGTTTTGTCGGCAATTCACGCTAGGAAGCTAGTGCTAATGCTAAGAAACTGCCAATGTCAATACTGACGTTAGCTCGTCGACGTTAGTTAGTAAGTTGTTGGCAAACTGCTTAGCACAACTGACGTTATACATGCTAGTCAGTTGTATGCTATCCAAGTTATTGAGGGGCGCTTTAATTTGACCAGCTGTCATAGCTAACGATAAGCTAGATGGACAAACACATTTTGGTTAGCTTAATATTTTTTAACATAAAACAGTATTCAAACTACGTGCTAAATTAGCTTATCACTCTGCTAAGCTAGTGTTGACCACCCAGAGTAAATATTTGTAATTTACTTGCTTTTTACTTTTAGATGCAATTTAACTATGCAAGACATATTTGGTAGCATGCACCTTTGCTATGATTCCTCTTAGCCCGCCGTCACAGATAACTGTCAAACTACTTGTTTTATTCAAGTAGATCTACAAAATAGATAAACTGAGTTTAACCCTATTTTGAAATGTCTGATGGATTTATAGCATGCACAATTAGCTTTGCAGCTTTAACTGGGGTTAAAAGCCGGTTCACAGTTCCTCACACTCAGGTCAGTCAATACAAAATAAAGTCATTAAAATGTCATTATTGCTGACACCATTTGTTATTGTGCCAGTTAACATTGTTGAGATTATGAGTGTGCAGTTCTCCATGCATTTAAAAGCAAATGCATGTAAAATGCCTATATCTCCGCACTAGCTCCTCCTTATGGCTGAATAAGGGAAACAACGTTCAGACCTTTGAGACACTGGGGATTTGCAGGTACTTGCTTGAGCTCTTGTTTCGTTTATTGCGTATGGACCTTGTTCTCTTAAAGTGGAGACACATCTTGACTAAAAGGACTGTTCATTTCTCCACCATCTGTATAATGTTTGGGCTCAAGGAAATCACATACGTTGTAAGTCTGTACTTTTAAACTTGCAACCTGGGCTTAGTTATGTGTTTTAATTTACCAAAGGACTTTATGACCTCAGTATGCGTTTCAAGTCAGTGGTGGTAAACTAGAGAACAAATTCCGACGCACCTTTTTTGTATACCAAAAACATGACTGGGACAAAGGCTTTTGGGGTGACTTGATGGGGTGTGCGAGGTCATTTCTTCAAATGCGTGCACAAGACTTCCTTTTTTTCTTTACCGATGTAAAGTTAATGAAAAATGTGCAAGACTCAGACATACTAAAACACATCTCATGTAGTGTAAGTTTGTGTTACTTGGCACTTTATAAACTACTCTTGCTCATTCAGCCACTGAATAATTAGTAACTTTTGAATAGTTGTTTGTGATTTGGCAAGGAGGTGCAGGTGTGTGCCTCTCCCTATGAATGGCTTTGGACTTGTTTTTTGTTTGGATAAAGATGTGTTCCCAATAAGTCACGAGAAAAGGAAGTGTTTGCTGTGATTTCCTGCCTTGCTAAATGCCAGTGATGAGTATGTTGGCTTTTCCTGTGTTATATCCCCAGTTTCCCTGTGACTGTTTCCAAAGCCATTCTTTCTTAGAAACCTGAACTGTTGAATAGCTTACCTTGGATCAAGAGCATTTTCTGTTTCATTATAGACAGTTCTGCTTTTGTGTCTTTGTTGTATATGAATGCGATTTGCCAATAATGTGTAGGTTATGAATATACAGTTTCACTGTACATAGAAAGTTGCTACTTCCTTGCCAGAGTCTGACTATTACGCATAATAGACACAAGGAGGATGGCGATGCAGCCCCTCATATCTGACACCAACAGTTCTTCCAGGACCCCACCCTTTAAGTGAGCAGAACTGCACAAGTCCCTGCTTGTATTGTTAAAACTGGTATAGTGGCCCCAGCCGCAGTTTGTTTGACTGCTATTTAAATAGATGTGTCACTGAGGGAAGTTTTTGACAATACACGTTGGCACACTGTGATGTTACTTCAAATGAAATGCATTTTATTTCTTTAAATAGTTATGTTCCCTTGCGAATAACTTATTCTCTTATAATGTTTTTTTTTTTTTAATTGCATGGCACTGGAGAAAAAACCCCGTTTGACCTTACATGTTCACGCTAAGGATGAAGAGAAGAATCCAAACTTTCTATGAATATCTAAAACTACACAAAATACAATACAAATGCTCCTCTTTACTTAGAAACAGGGAGTCATAAGAACATGTTAGGAAACTGTACACAGAATCTCTGACCATATAGTTTTATAGGCTTTTATCTGCTACTAAGAATTATTGATTTGCTTTATTACTGGCATTAATGAGTCATATCACTGTCAGTATGTTTTCAGTTCTTTTGACTGAGCAGTGAACAGAAATAAGTCATATGAATTGTATCTGTACTTTGTTTTGTACCGGTTTTGCATTTAAATATAACGGCAAAATATAATTAGGTATTGAATTGGTGCACACATTGTTCTGTACGAAGTTGTTCAAAGCACTTGCCGAGCATACAGGAGGTCACGATGAATATTTCACAGATTCTCCTTCACGTTCGCGCCCCCCCCCCCCCCCCCCCCCCCCCCCCCCTTTCCCTGACCCATGTGCCACAGTCTCTCTGTGACCCACTTTGCGGCAGAGGTCTTCGGAGCCCATTAGGGATGCCATCAAGGCATCCGTCATCGCAGACTGCTTAAGATGTGAGCAGGTCTGTCTCAGAGCAACAAAGAGCCTTTTCATTGCAAGCTACACGGCCACTTCTACCTTTTACATTCTGTGCATAGATGTTAACGCTCAAAGGTTCCCACTTCATCAGTAGGTAGCTGACAGTGTGCATATTTTGCTAATAATAGTTGTGTTCTACGATATCTGTTAACCAACAA